GCAAAACTTGAGAACACAAGAGAGGAAATTGCAAGAAATATGATGACAAGAGGCTGAAGTGGCAATTGGGGAGTGTTCATCTGGGACCCTCCTCATACCTGAAACCTTTGCTTGTCAGATTTTCTGAGTGAAGGAATTGAAAAAGTTTCCTGAGTGCCTCCCTCTCCCCACTGCTCTTTCTCAGCTTTCTGCCCCAGTGTCAAGCAGCATCAGGACTGGGCAATGAAATAACAAACATTATTCCATTCCTGGAGTAAACCAAGTACCACTTATTCAAATGACTGTAGGGGTGACAGCTAGACCCTGAAGGAGTGAAATGGGATGGATGAAGTTGAGCAAGCTAGTGGTAAATGGAACAAGCACCTACTCCACCTTAACAGATTAAGGTTAAATGAAGAGGGCCTAGTATGCAAGATCTTACAAGGTTATTCTCAAGAACCCATGTATTTGATTTTTATATAAAACCTAGTGACTTGAGTATGTTGTTATCAAATTTAAACAATGTATAAGCCATTCAAAACATTCCAAAGGACTTTATTCCTCTTGTTGAGTCTCTTTATTGGGTAGGAGAGTGATCAGATGTCATACAACAACCTAAACAAGTTTATTTTTTACTCAGATGGGATGATTGTGATAAAAGAAAACCAAAGTAATTTAATGATGGTCAAATAAAGTAGGAAATTCCCAGGATTTGAAGTGATTTTTACTTTGAAAATTTATTTATTTATTTTACTAGGGATTGAACTCAGGGCCTTTGCACTGAGCTATATACCCATCCCTTCTTATTTACTTATTCATTATTTTGAGACAATGTAAGGCTAAATTCACCAAACAGGACTCAACTTTTGATCCTCCTGCCTTACCCTCCCAAAGGGTAATGAGGAATTGAATTTGTGCTATCTTATAAATCTAAGAACTCAAGACGAAACCTGTGGGGTTGCAAAATTATAAATGTAGAACATGCTAGCAAAGGTCCATAAGATGCTTGCCAGAGTTAGCTGACAGGTTTCAAAACAGTTTGAGTATTAGACATCACAGATATGCCTGCCAAAAAGGGTAGTGTGATAGAAGAACCTCTGCAGTGCACATAAATACCCCCACACACACATGTTAAACTCACAGAGGAAATCAGCTTTAAAGTTTGACAAGGCAAAGAAGCTGAATGAGTAGTTTCATATTAAGCAGTTGATAAACTTTATCTGAATGTGAAAATGTTTCATGAGGAGGTAGCTAGTTCCCATTATTATTACATATTTGTACATTAGCCTTTAGTGACAACGATCTTTTCAGGATATATTTGGGCTCTGCTTATTCAGTGAATCACATTGTATGAATTGAATGCTAATACTACCAAAATGGGAATGCAAGATGATTAATATTTCTGTGTTACAATGATCTTGTGAAACAGTGAAGAAAAACCTCACTTAAATTCAGGATATATCTAATTCCATTATAGGATCTATTGTTAAAGTCAAGCAGATCATAATATTTGTTTTAAACAAGCAGCCAAGCTCATAGCACTATTGTTTTGAACCACTGTATTCCTAAAATCATAAAAATATAGACTCGGCCCTACTGAAGTCCCGAGTCATGCTGAAGACATCAAATCAGCCCACTGCAGACAGGCAGGTCTGCGCACACCCTACCGACGTCCCGACTCGCGCAGAACATGCAGAATCATCCCGCACCCTGGCAACAATCAACTGGACCCCCACCCCCGCTCCTCTGTACAGCCGCCTGGTTCCACACTACAAAGACGCAGAGGACACCAGACTACCAGAGCATGGTACTGAGTCCCATTGCTCCTGGCCCAGAGGTAGGGGCTTCTGAGCCACCATCCCACTGCTCCTGGTCCAGAGGAAGGGGCTTCCCAGCTAACATACCTCCTGCTGCTCCCAGCCCAGAGGATAGGGCTTTTGGGCCACCTCCTGTCCCGCTGCTCCTGGCCCAGAGGAAGGGGCTTCTGGGCCATCATCCCTCCCACTGCTCCTGGCCCGGAGGTAGGGGCTGCTGAGCTGCCATCCCACTGCTCCTGGACCAGAGGAAGAGGATTCCTGGCCACCATCCCTCCTGTTGCTCCCAGCCCACAGGAAAGGGCTTTTGGGCCACCATCCCTACCTCTGCTCGCGGCCCCTGTCCCACCTCTCCCAGCTCAGAGGAGGTAATCCCTGCAGGTGCCAACAGCTCCCACCCCAGTTGAAATGAGAAAACACATAAATAAGTCTCAAAACCAG